GGCTGGGGATTCGAACCCGCCACCTTAGGTGTACGTGGCTGGCGCCTTAGCCGGTTGAGCTATAGGCGCCGAGCCATGGAGATGGTCTTAAAGGTCCTCCACCCCCACCCTGCTGTTTCTTAAAACTCAAGACACATAGTAGGCCTTAGTTAAAGAGTCTGTCCTTCCAGCCTCAGGTAATTTCTTACCCAACTTCCACATTCCTTTTGACCATTACGGTGTCAACCCCATGTCTAAAATACTGCTCTAAGGCAAGCAGTGTAACATGGTTCTTTGCACCCTCAATGACTCCCCAACAATAAAAAAGTAATAATAATACTAAAAAAATAAAATACTGCTCCAATGCTGGTCCCTCGCCCTCCAACCTCACTGTCTCTGCCTCAAATCAGGCTTTGATCACAGTTTCTTTCTTTCTCTCACACACCACTCCACGAAACACTTCTGACCCTGGATGTATGTGTGGTGGTAGTGGTGGGGTTCTGCTTACTTCGTTAGCAGATACCAGCTGGGTGTCCCCTAACTTAACTCAAATCTGACAGTGTCTATTTGGAGATAGTGTCAGATTCCACAGGTTGAGGACTCAGTCCCCCAAGACTATCACATACTTTGATATCAATTGAAAGGAGTAGGTTGTTACCTATACTTCTGACCCACCCTCTATAAAATTATGTGCTCAGGACCCTTTCCTTGGGTTTGACATATTTGCCATTATAGCTTATAGGACCCAGGGAAACACGTTTACTGGTTTACTATTACAAAGGATATTACAAAGAATACAGATGAATGGCCAGATCAGAAAGATACAAGAAAAAGGTATGGGGGAAGGGCAAGGAGCTTCCATATCCTCTCAAAGCACACAACCCTCTGGGGACCTCTGCTTGTCAGCTATGCAGAAGCTCTCCAAACTCTGTCTCTGGGGCTTTATGAAGGCTTCATTACATAGGCGTGATTGATTACATCATTGGCCATTGGTGATCAATTCAACCTTCAGTCCCTCTCTCCTCCCCGGAGGTTGGGAGACGGGGATGTCAGTTCCAACCTGCTAATCACATGGTTTGTTTCCCTGGCAACCAGCCCCCATCCTGAGGCTCTCCGGGAGCCCACCATGAGTCACCTCATTAGAACAAAAGATGCTCTGATCACCCAGGAAATTAAAGGAATTTAGGAGCTCTGTGTCAGGAACCAGGGGTCAAAGACCAAATATTAGAATACAAGATTCTTTTAGCACCCCTCTCTATCAGGGTTTGAGGAGCTCTGACTCAGGAGCTGGGGGCAAGGACCAAATATATATTTTCTTATTGTGACGCAATATCATATCTGATCTCTAGAAAACTGCCTCTTGGCCCATATGGAAACTACTGTCTTTCTGATTTCACATGATCTCTCCCCATACTGGAATTCTACCTGTCCTTGAAGGCACATCTCACATGTTCTATCCTTGGTAATGCTTTCCTTCTTGTTCTTCTCTCCCCTCTCGTTCCCCCATGGCAGGCTGACCTGCCCAGGATACTTTACTCAGGGCCATTAGCACTTCCCACTTGGTCAGGCAGCCAAGTGTGGTAGGGAAAGAGCAAAGGGCTTTGGAGCGAGAGCAGCCTGGGTTAGGACCCAACTTTGACTCACTGTGCGATGCTGCTGAAGTTATTTAACCTTTTGAGCCTCAGCTTCCTTGTCTGAAAAATGGGAATGATCAAAATACAGCAATTCTGAGGTGGTGGTGAGCATGAATGACACGGAAATATCCGTGGTGCTTATTCCTCATGTGTCCCGTGAGGGCGGAGTCAGACCATGTTTAATCAGCTTTATCCTCCCCTCATACAGGGCCGGGCATGTGGCTGGCAGTTGGTAACTATTACTGAGGACCTACTATGTGTCAGGCACCATGGGATGCTCTCCCAGTAGGTAAGAGTAGGTTGGCACCAGGTTTGTGTCTCTGTCTGACGCTCCTTCTCCAGTTTTCCCAGCCA